GATCGAACATTGTTTCGTTCTGCTGTGCATGGAGTCGCTATGAGTCGGTTCCGACTCAATGGCACCTGACAACAACAACAACAAGAGTTGGAACCTATTTCATGGCACTTAACAGCAACAGCAGAGCTAAAGTGTTGGACTGATAATTTTACTTTTGCTTTTCTTTCTCTAGAAATACTTTAAAAGGAAAGACGTAGAGACCATAAGAAAATTGGCGACTGATCAATTTAATCAGGTAAGGAGTTAATCATCAGTTTTTATTTTCTCTTTTGAGGATTTAATATTTTGAACTAATACTTGCATGTACTATAGGATAAGTGTTGAACTGCTAACTGCAAGATCAGCAGTTCAAACCCACCAGTCCCTCCAGAAGAGAAAGCTGAGGCTTTCTACTCCTATAAACATTTACAACCTCAGGCACCCTATACAGGGTCCCTATGAGTCCTGGAGTAGTGCTGTGAGGTAATGCGTCAGATTATAAGTCATTTGAACTGCAAGGTCAGTGGTTAAAACTCACCAGCTGCTACTTAGAAACCCTATACAGGGTCGCTGTGGGTCAGAATCGACCCAACAGCACTTAACAACAACAACCTGAGTTGGAATCAACTCAATGGGAGTGGGTTTTTTGGTTTTTTTAAAATAATTGCTTGAATAGGGTCATGTTATTTCAGCTCATTCTACATTTCTTCCTTTGATTTTTAAAATTAATCATATCCCTCTAAGACTTAATATAGATCGTGAGTTCACCATTAATCAGAATGTGAAAATCCAACCTTTGATAAACAAAGATATTCCAATCCTTGTAAGAATATAACTAGAGAGCCATGTGCCCACATTTAAAAGGAAACATAATTGATGTAAAGGAAAAGTTATATTCATTGTTCTTCCTGTACTACGTTTTTGAACTTTGAATATGCCTTAATCAAACACATTTTGTGCTTTGTGGTTTGGTGGATGGCAAATCTTGAAAGGAGGGGAGAGAGTGATAAATGGACGTTTTCATACATTGTTCCTAGAAGTATACATTTTCTCAATTGTTTTGAAATCAGTAGCTTTAAAATGATTCATCCTCTTGGAGTCAGTAATATTCTATAATATGATCTAAAGGGAGGATGTTAAATATGAGGTGATACTATACTCTTTATTGTGTCATTTATAACTGGGACAGATGAAATCAAATGGGAATTATTAAATAAATGATTGCATGATCGCAAGAATTAATATTAAAATTCCTTTTTAAAACTTTGAGTTTGTAATATAGGAAAAATATTTATTGTAATGATGTTTGTTAGTTAAAAAAAAAAAAAGGAGGGTATATAGAATTACATATATGAGGACTTCAAAAAATTCATGGAAAAATGACATCTTTTAATTTGACTATCTTTTAATAGTCAAATTTTTCCACAAACTTTTTGAATCCCCTTCATATACTGTGATCATAAACATGTGTAAAAGCACTATATTTGTAACTGATAAATGAACTACTATTATCATCACCACATCCCAAACCTCAGGTCTCAAGTTTGATGAATAATGAAAGGATTTTTTGGTAAGAAACGAAGAAAAAATATTAGGATAGTGATTTCCAAAATTGTGTGAGACAAGATGAGAAAAGTCAAGATATCAAAATTTTCCATAAAATTAAATGAATTTAAAGAACTCTTTATTTCTCTTTTTAAATATTTTTGCTGTGAAAATGTTGTTTTGTGAAATGATGAAATAGTAGATGATATTTTGAGTTTGCTTTATGTCTTTCTTTGATAACATACAGAATTGGCAAGCTTATGTCTACCAGGGGTTTTTGTTAGTTTGTTTTTATCTTAATAATGTATGAAATATGAAATTTACATCTAGGGACCACAGTACCAGAAAATGCTTCTGAATGTTAACTTTGGCAGTCTTTCAGTGATGGGACTATTACACTTTCATTTTTTATTCTTATTCTTCTTTCTTCTCCGCTCTCTCTGTTCTTTATTGCTTTTTTATTTTTAACTTTTCCTAATATCTTAAGGAGCCCTGGTGTGGCGCTGTGGGTTAATGTGCTGGACTGCAAAGTTGTTTGAACTGCAAAGTCAGTGCTTAATGCTCAGCAGCCCCTCCTCAGAAACCCTATACAGGGTCAGTGTGGGTCAGAAACTACTGAATGGCACTTAACAACAGTAATATCTTAAATTCCTATTTAGCATAGGAGTTCCTGAGTGCTATAAAAGTACTTGGCTGCCAACCGAAAGTTTGGGGATTCAAGTCTACCAAGAGGTGCCTTGGAAGAAAACCCTGGTAATCTACTTCTCAAAAATCAGTCATTTAAAATCCTATGAAAAGTTCCTTGCTGCTGCAAATGGTTAAGCACTTAACTAATAACCACAATGATGGTAGTTTGAACTAACCCAGAGATGCAAGTGAAAGTATGGTGAAAGAATACAACCCTGTCGCACACCTTTCTTAACTTTAAACCATTCAGTGTTCCCATGTTCTATTCTCTCACCATTCTTATTCAACCTGTATGCTGAGCAAATAATTCAAGAAGGTGGGTTATATGAAGGAAAACATGGCATCAGGACTGGAGGAAGACTGATTAACAACCTGTGATATGCAAATGATACAACCTTGCTTGCTGAAAGTAAAGAGGACTTAAAATACTTAACTGATGAAGATCAAAGAGCACAGCCTTTGTTATGGATTGCATTTCAGTGTAAAGAAAACAAAACTCCTCACCACTGGACCAGTAAACAGTATTCTTATCAACGGGGAAAAGATTGAAATTGTCAAGGACTTCATTCTTCTTGGATTAACTATCAACACTCACGGAAGCAGCAGTCAAGAAATCAAATGACGTATTGCATTAGGCAAATCTGTTGCGTAAGACCTTTTTAAAGTGTTGAAGAGCAAAGATGTCAGCTTGAGGACTAAGATGCGCCTGATCCAAGCCATGGTATTTTCAATAACCTCATATGCATGTGAAAGCTGAACAGTGAATAAGGAAGACCGTTGAAGAATTGATGCTTTTGAGTTATGGTGTTCAAAGAAAATATTGAAAGTGCCATTGGATGCCAAAAGAACCAACAGATCTATTTTGGAAGAAGTGCAGCCAGAGTGCTCTTTTGGAGGCCAAGATGGTCAAACTTTGTCTCTCATGCATATTGTCAGGAGGGACCAGTCTCTGGAGAAGAATATCATGTTTGGTAAGGTGGAGGGGGTCAAAGAAAAAGAGGAAGACCTCCAGCGAGATGGATTGGCAAAGTGGCAGCATCAGTGGGCTCAAACATGGCAACAATTATGAGGTTGGCACAGAACTGGGCAGTATTTCGTTCTGTTATACATAGGGTCCTATGAGTCGGTATCGACTTGATGGCACCTAACAACAACAACAAATCTTTATACAAATGGAAAACCTCATCTTTCTCCCACGGAGTGGCTGGTGGATTTAAACTGCTGACCATGCAACTAGCAGCCCAACTTGTAACTTACTACACAACTAGGGCTCCTTGGTTGGTTGTTTATGTACCGTGGAGTCAATTCCGACTCATAGCGATCCTGTATAGGGTTTCCGAGGCTGTAAATCTTTATGGGAGCTGAAAGCTTCATCTTTCTCCCACAGAACAGCTGGTAGTTTTGAACTGCTGATCTTGAAGTTTATAGCCCAATTCATAACCACTATGCTACCAGAACTCCTTGGAGAATGTTTTTGTTGTTAAGCGCCATCAAGTCGGTTCCTACTCATGGCGACCCTGTAATAGAGTTTCTGAGCAGAGGCTTGGTAGGTTTGAACTGCTGACCCTGCAGTTAGCAGTCCAGTAATTATCATACAGTGCATACCAGGACTCATGAGAACACAGCAGAGGTAACTCAACTGAGTATATTCAGAAAACTTTTCAACAAAAGTTGGAAAACATTATATTATATACATTTTTATGTTTAAAAAAATACAAAAATGATTTTAAAAAACTAGTAAAACACAGAGAACCACAAGTAAAGAAAGCAAAAAATGAAAAGAAAGTTTCTCCCATGGACACCAAGTTACTGGAAAAACAGAAAAATTTCCAACAGTGGTACTAAGTATGCTTTAAAAAAGCAAAAACATGCAGAAAACAATCTAACAGAGATCAGGAAAGAAATGGAGGGAACAGATGAGAGACTCAACAAGGAAATTAAAAAAGAAAAACAAACACTACTGGAACAGAAGAAACAAGCAACTGAATTAGAAAAAAGCAAGAGAAACACTCAACAAGAGCGTTAACAGACAGAAGAAAGACAAGTAAGTTAGAAGACAACCGAATTTATCAAGGCTCAATAAGAACAAGAGAAAAGCAAAGTCAAATGAAAATATGAGATTCAATTAAGAAATCTAACGTTAGAATTATTGGAATTCCAGAGCACAATGACAATAATAAATACATAGAAAGAATTTTCCAAGAGATAATCAGAGAGAATTTCTCAAACCTTAGTGGAAAACCAAACGCACAAATTAGAAGACGTTTTGAAAAGATCAACTCCATGTCACATCTTAATAAAATTCCTGAAAACCAAAGACGAGGAAAGAATTCTAAAAGGAATAGAAAAAAACACAATATAACATCCTTCATTAGAATCAGTGTGGATTTCTCCCTAGAAACTCTAGAGGCCAGAAGATAATATATTAAATATTGCCAACCAAGAATTCTTTTTCCAGCAAAGTTGTCATTCAGAAACAAGGAGAAAATCAAGATGTTCCCAAATGAAAACATGCTCTGGGAATTCACCATTACCAGACTACCTCTGCAAGTGTTACTTAAGAGAGTTCTTCAAATGTAAAGGCAAGAATATTTAACAAATACTCAAATGTATTCACTGGGAAAAAAATTAAGTACTCTCCCAAAAATGCAACAACACGAACAATCATAAGGACATGATATTTTCAGGGAACAAATGTAGCAGTATAGTTCGCAAACAATATAACATCGTGTATATAAAAAACAGTACAGCGCAAACCTTTTACATAAAATTGTACAGTAATGTTAATGGAGACTCACCAACAGAAATGGAGGCAAGAGGAGCATATTAATATGTTAAAATTATGATACCTGTTCATAGACTAAACATTGTCACAATTGTATGTTGTGTGATGTAATATGTGTGGTAACCACTAAAAAATCACAGAAAAAATAGAGGAAAAGAAGGAAGAAATCAAAAAGGCTTATAACAAGCATTGATGCTTTTGAGTTATGGTGTTGGAGGAGAATACTGAAAGTGCCATGG